TGTGTGTGTGTGTGTGTGTTTATATTATTCCTCTCATACTGGTCAGGATCCTGTTGAGAAATTGTCCATTTTCCTCCAACATTTCTTCAGGGGAACTCATGCTGGACAGAATAAAGTGTAACCTGAAGAAGAAATTTGAGTGTGTATTTGAAGGGAAAGCTAAGGAAGGACAGTCAACACTTCTCAAAGACATTTACACAGAACTCTACATAACTAAAGGTGGAACTGGAGGAGTCAATGATGAACATGAAGTGAGACAGATTGAAACATCATCCAAGAAAATGCAAAGAGAAGATACTACACTCAAGTGCAATGATATATTTAAAGCCTTATGTGGGCGTGAGACACCTATCAGAACTGTACTCACTAAAGGGGTTGCAGGTATCGGGAAAACAGTCTCTGTGCAGAAATTTATTCTAGACTGGGCAGATGGAAAAGCAAACCAGGACATACACGTCATATTTGCTCTTCCTTTCCGGAACCTGAATCTGCTTGAGAGTGAATTCAGTCTGATTGATCTGCTTCACCACTTTGACCCAGAACTAAAGTTATTCCAATCCACTGAGCTGTTTAGGTGCAAAGTCTTGTTCATCTTTGATGGTCTAGATGAGTGTCGCCTTCCTCTAAATTTTAAGAATGATAAGAGTTTTTGCGATGTAACAAAGAAAACGTCACTGGATGTGCTGTTGACTCACCTCATTAAGGGGAATCTGCTTCCATATGCTCTCCTCTGGATAACCTCTCGGCCAGCAGCAACCAATCAGATACCTCCTGAGTGCATCGACCAGGTGACAGAGATACGAGGGTTCAGTGATGCCCAGAAGGAGGAGTATTTCAGGAAGAGATTTAATGATGAGAGCCTGTCTGAAAGGATTATCAGACATGTGAAATCATCAAGGAGCCTCTTCATCATGTGCCACATTCCTGTGTTCTGCTGTATTTCAGCCACTGTCCTTGAGAGTCTTTTTAGCAAAACTGACAGTGTAGAAATTCCAAGAACTCTCACTGAAATGTGCACACACTTCCTGATCTTTCAGACAAGATTAATTAATGACAGGTATAGGCTCCAGACCTCTGCGATCCAGAACAGGACAAGCTGGTACAACAAATGGAAGAATAGATTTATGAAAAAGAATGAAACTAATGATATTAGATGCTTCCTTCTAAAACTTGGTAAACTGGCTTTTCATAACCTTAAGAAAGGCAATCTCTTATTTTATGAGAAAGATCTGGAACAGAGTGACCTTGACATCAGAGAAGCTTCAGTTTACTCTGGAGTGTGCACAGAAGTCTTTAAAGAGGAATATGGGTTGTATCAGACAAAGGTGTACTGCTTTGTA